AAACCCACCGCCAGCGCCAGCGAGTAGATTCCAGCTTATCGCGACCCCCATCGGGTTTCTAAGGCTGGACTTTTTTGTTTTTTCAATCTTTCTCAGTTTGATTCTTGCCTTTTTTAAAAACTTTTATTTGGATTTGGGTGAAAAGTGTACAGAGCCAATTCATTTTTGATACAGCAGTTCATACACATTTTGTTTCATGACATTGACCGCAATTCCCCACAGTGTACCTCCAAGCCCGCCCCTTTCTGTTCCACCCGTAGCAGGTGCTGTTCCCGCTGCCGTCCCCTCTGCGGGTATTCGCGCTGCTGACGGGGCCAGGCTCCGAGCTACCCGCCGTGTGCATCGGCGTGAGCCCCGGGAGGCCGGAGAAGTCGGTTCTCTTCCACACCGTGCGCTTCGGCGCTCTGTCCTGCTGGTTGGGGGAGATGAGCACCGGTGAGCGGGCCGACGGAGAACTGGATTGCTGGGAGGGGCAGGGCTGGTCAGTTTAAGAGGGGTGGCTGGGCGGAGCTTAGCCCCGGGGCGTTAGTGAGAAAGGGGTGGAGCCTGTCCACCCCCCCCACACACACACATTGGCAGGTCTTATTTAATGGGTGAGGTTAATGAAGAATCGTCACTGGTTGGTGGGTGGGGCTTAGCTTCTGTATTTGAGGGAAGGAAAGGGACTGACTAGTCTTGGGGAGGGGTGAGACCTTGAGCCCTCTTCTGTGAAACAGAGCATAAGGGACCAGTGCAGGTGACCCAGGTGGAGGAAGACATGGTCATGGTTCTGATGGACGGTAAGAACCTTTTCCCCAGCGTTGTGCCCCCAAACCCCTCTCTGCCTCTCTGAAACGCTGAGCTCCTCCAGACCTCACCCGCCACCAGCTTTGATTCTCACACTGAATCTATTGCCTGGTCTCTCCGTGACCCTCTAAGCCCTGCCCACAGCTCTGAAGGCCTTTTCTGTACCCCCTCCCAGGCTCTCTGAAGCTGGTGACCCCGGAAGGGTCTCCAGTCCGGGGGCTTCGCACCCCAGAGATCCCCATGAGTGAAGCCGTGGAGGCGGTGGGTATGTGCAGGGATGTGGGGCCTCGGGGTGGGAGGTGGAGGCTTCGGTGATGGCCACGAGTGACAGCACTGCTTTTGCCCCAGCTATGGTTGGGGGTCGACTCCAGGCCTTCTGGAAGCATGGAGTGCAGGTGTGGGCCCTGGGCTCAGACCAGGTAAGTCCCCCCGACCCCCTGCCAGGGCTGTCACCACATCGTCAGATGGCCTGGGGGGACTGAGTCAGGGTGTGAAGACCTGGGGGGACTGAGGCAGGGTGTGAAGATCTGGGGGAGAAGCTTCCTCTGGTCTCAGTTCAGACAGGTCTTCTCACCCCATGGTCTCTTGAGTCCTCCTCCCATCCCATTCCACTCTGGGATCTTATACGAGGGATTTTGCTTCTCCCTGAGCCTTAGCTCCCTAAATGTAAAGTAGGGGTCAAGATCGAGATATGTGGGTGTGTTTAAGTGCATGGACCAGACAGCCTGGGTTGGAACCCAGCAAAGGGGCCTTAGGCAAATGACTTAACTTTCCCATGGTCATTTTCCTCATGTGCAAACGATAAGGTGCTTATCTCATTGGGCGCTGTGTTGGACTCTACCCTTACAGTTAATTCAGTTCATGTTCAGTCACCGATCAGGTAGGTAGTATGGTTTCCCCATTAGTAATCAGATGCACAGGGAGGTTAAGGAATTTGCCTGGGATCACAGAGCTGGTGAGAGGTATTGGTAAGACTGACTAATCCAGGACCCGAGGCTAGATATCAGACATCTCCCTCTGCTCCATGTTTCTAGGGAGAGGGCAGGGGCCTGCTAGACACTGACACGCACATTCCTTTCCCCCAGCTGCTGCAGGAGCTGCGAGACCCCACCCTCACATTCCGTCTTCTTGGCTCCCCCAGGTATGATCTGGAGGGGGGTTGGGGGACAGAAGGACCTGAGAGGGGCATTTCTGATGTGGAGAGGACATCCTGAGGTGTCCCCACTCACCTGTATCTTTGACCCAGACAGTCTTTAACCTGGTCTCTTTATGTCCACCCTGTCCCCTATTGTCCTTTCCCCCACTCCACCCCACAGCAGCCAATGGGGTCTTTTTCGTTAATTTTTATTGTGATTTGGGTGAAAGTTTACAGAGCAAATTCATTTTCCATACAGCAGTTTATACACATTTTGTCTCATGACATTGACTGCAATTTTCCACAGTGTAACAGCTCTCTTCCCACTTCCTCGCCATAGTTCCCTCTTTCCTGTGTCCTTCCCTGTCATGCACTCCCACCCACAAGCTGTTTCTCTGTGCAAAGACTGCCCTTTTGTTCTCCCACAATGATTGATTGATCACTCCAAGGAGTGTATCTACCTGATGTAAATGTTCACCTTATATGCCTGTCTGTTGTTTGGCTGGAAGCCACAGGAGTGAGTTCAGTTCTAGACCTGAAGGGTAACTAGGGGCCATAGTCTCAGGGGTCTCACCACATCACCACAAGGGGTATTTTTATTTTTTTATATTTAACTTCTGATTTTGACAAATGTTAGACTTACAGAGAAGTTGCAAAAACAATCCTCTTCATCAAGATTTCCCAGATGTTAACTTTTTTTTTTTTTAAAAAAAGTAACCTTTTTTCTTCATAAAGAACAATAACAACAAAAATCAACAACCACAAAAACTCTTGCCTAACCCATGTAACATCACAAATTCAGGTAGCTCAATACAGCTTTCCTATTATAATTCTTAGGTCTTTGTCCTGCTTTGAAATTTTTTTTTTATTTTTGTTTTAAAAAAACTCCACCACATTTGCTTTATCCTTCTCTCTTCCTTTCTCTCTTTTTTTGAACCACTTGAGGGTCAGTTGCAAACATGGTGTCCATTTACTCCTAAACATTTCAGTGTATATTTCCTAAATCAAAGCAAAGACATCCTTTGACACAGCCACATCAGAGCCCTCAAAGGAAGAAAGTAGCAGTGAGCTGTCACTACCTTCTAATCCACACACCTGTTCATGTTGCACCAGTTGGTCCCAATGATGTGTTTTATCACAAAAGAATTGTTTCCGGTCCAGGATCACAGGCTGCATTTAGGAGTCATGTTTCTGTAGCTGGCGACAGTTCTTCAGACTTTGTCTTTCATGACTTTGATACTTTTCCAAGTGTGCAGGAGGGTTGTTTTGTAAATGTCCCTCAGATAGGTAGGTTTGAGGTTTGCAGGTTATGCATTTTGGGCATGAGTACCAAAAAGTGATGCTGTGTGCTTCTTAGTGCATCCTCTCAGGGAGGTACAGGACACCAGTTTGTCACATCACTGGTGTTATCATTCAGTTAAGGGGGAGCCTTTAGGTTTCTCTACTGTAAAGTTGCTCGTTTTTCCTTTGTAATAATAATAATAATAATACGTATCTTTTGGGGAGATCCACTGAGACTCTGTAAGTACACTGTCTCTCATTAGACTTGCACCCACTAGTTTCAGCATCCATTGATGATTTTTGCCTGAACCTTGTAATTATTATAAGGAAGGCGCTGTGGTGGTGCAATGCCTAAGGCATTTGACTGCTAACCAGAAGGCTGGTGGTTCAAACCTACCAGCCACTCCATAGAAGAAAGATGGGGCAATCTATTTCTGTAAAGATTTATAGCCTTGGAAACTCAAGAGGGGTAGCTACGAGTTGGAATCAACTTGACAGCACTGGGTTTGATTTGGGTTTTGCTTCCATAAAGATTACAGCCTTGGAAACCTTACGGAGCAGTTCTGCTCTGTCCTGTAGGGTCGCTGTGAGTTGGGATCGACTCGATGGCAGTGGGTTTGGTTTGGCTTGTAACTGTTAGGAGGCTTCTACCGAATGGTGATTTTCTGGTCTCCCACTCCTGCATTTATTACTTGGCATTCTCCTGTAGGGAAGAGCTTTCCCTTCTCTACTGTCTGTTTCAGTCAGCATGGTCTCAAGGGTTTCCATTTTACTCTTTGGGCTATGCTCTATTCCTATCATTGTTTATTTTGATACACAAATAGTCCCAGATTTAGCCAGTGGGAGCCCCTTCAAGGAGCCCCTGTGTCCTTTTGACAGGCTGTGGGGGGGAGGATAGTTGTTTCTATTTGTGTCACTCTCCCTGTGGCCTCAAGACAGACACCCAGTGCTGGCCACAGCCCACAAGGCCGTGCCATCTCCAGCCAAGCCCCAGCTCCCTTCTACCCTGAGGTCTTTGCACTCCACCTCAAAGCTGTTCCCTCTGCCCACAACGCTCTTCTCTACCCTTTTCACTAAGTTTCCTCCTGAGTCTCCTTCAGGTTGCAGCATCACTGTCCATCCTTTGGGGCAGCCTTAACTGGCCTCCCAAGTTAGGTGTCCCTGCTATCCACCCCATGCTTCGTTGCACCCGTCTTCACTCGCTGAGTCATGTTGGGCTCCCACTAGAGCCGTGACCTCCGCAAGGGCAGGGACCACATCAGCACATTCACTGTGCAGCTCAGCACTGGGCTGACACAGCCTCTAGAACTACTTTGTGAAGGAATAAATGAATGAATGAATGAATGAATGTACAAACTGACTTCTCCCTTCCTTCCCCAGGCCTGTGGTGGTGGAGACACGCCCAGCAGATGACCCCACTGCCCCTAGTAACCTTTACATCCAGGAGTGAATCCCTGAGGGGAGGTCAGGAATCAGTCCTTGTGTACACACACACACCCCCACACCCAACAGACACACACTGGTGGTCGTGCCATGTTCTTGTCTGCAAATAAACATGACTTCAACCTCTGCTGTCCTCTTGTTTTTCAGAAGGGAAAGCAGAATTTCTGGGGCCTATCCCCCCCAAATATCCAATAACTCATCCAAGTGGTGTCGGGGTATAGCATGGGCTTTATTTCTCCAGTACGTGGTCACCTCTCCCCCAGCTGCCTGGGGAGAAAGGAGGGGTGAGGGGTAAAGGGGCTTGCCATGAGAATAAGGCACTTGAGGTGGGAGCAGAGGGCCAGCTGGGGGTGTCTCAGCTAAGCTGGTCCTCATACTGCTTGCGGAAACAGTCACCAGCCGGAAAGAAATCCCAACATCTCTCCTGGTACATCTTCCAGACATAAGATTCCTAGAATTTCAGGGAGTGGGGAGAGCCAGGTGGTCACATTCTGAAACACTTACATGCTCTCTTTACCGTGCCCTGTTGGAGCCTACCAGCAGATTTGGGGGGAAAACGTAGCAGTCAGCTTCCATTAAGATTACAGCCTTGAAGACCCTGTGCAGCAGCTCTATGCTGTTCTCTAGGGACACTGTGAGTCCGAATCAAGTCCAACTTAGTGGGTTTGGTTAGGGCTTTCTAAGAGTATGGCCTTGGAAACCCTATGGGGCAGTTCTACTCTGTGCCACAGGGTCCCTGTGAGTCCGTGAGTAGCAGAGGGCAACGGTGTTTGGTTTGGGGTCTACTTGAAATCTCTTTGCCCTGACCACCACCCCCCCATTGGCACTCCCTTACCTGACCCGTGTGCTCTGTCTCATCCTTGTTTATCAGATACATCAGGAAAAACCTGTGGGCAGGGGGCAGTGGGAGACTTGTCAGGACCACCCTTCTCCTGATTGGGTGGCTGGGAACTCACCACACCTACCCACCCACCCCCACCGATACTACACAACCCCTTCCCCACCCCTTCCCAACAGGTCAAAGCACATCATCTGCCCCTAGCGGCCGGCGGCCACACCCCCATCCTCCTGATTGGCTCGCGGGCCTATGCTCACATGTAATTGGCCAGGTTGTGCTCCTCTAACGTGTGGGTCTCGAACCCATGTGGTGTCGTGTCGAAGTAGTCACTGCCGATTCCACAGATGAAGCACTTGGTCTGTGGATGATGGAAGACTGGTCAGAGTTGAGGCCCATTTGACCTCCCAATGATCCTTAAATCCCGCTCATCACTCCGGGCATGACCCACCTCCATATCTTCCCTCACTTGCTCTTGCTGGTCTCGGAGCTCACCGAAAGCGTCAATGATGAGACCTGGGGTGGGAGAACGCAGGTCAGTGTCCTACCTCTGACCCAGTTCAGGGTCCTCCACTGCCCCAGCTGTACACCTCTGGGCCTTTGCCTCCCACCCGCTACCTCCCTAATCTCATTCCTGCTTCCTGAGAACACCACCACCTAGCATTTACTGAGCACTTACTATGTGCCAAGGACCTCTGGTGGTGCAATGCCTAAGGCATTTGACCGCTAACCAGAAGGTTGGTGGTTCAAACCCACCAGCCACTCTGGAAGGAAGAACGGGCAATCTACTCCCCTAAAGATTTACCACATTGGAAACCCAAAGGGGGTCGCTATGAGCCGAAATCGAGTGAATCAAAATCGGTGAGTTTGGTTTTGGTTTTGGTACTATGTACCAGATCCTGAACGACTGACTTAATCCTCATAACAACCCTATAAGGTTAGTTAATATCATTAACATCAGAGAAACTGAGGCCCAAAGAGGTCACTTGCCAAGGTCTCACAGTAGAGAGAGGCAGAGCCAGGATGTGAATCCAGTCAGACTAGATACTGGGCCTGCACTCTTAGGCATGGGTGAGCCTGCCTCTGGGCAGAGTCCCCTCTCCCGTGACCCCAGCCAGCACTGACCCTGGATGATGGCCAGTAGGATGACAATGACGAAGAAGAAGAATGTGATGTCAAAGACCACCCGGTACAGCTCATACTCATCGCCTGCTGGGTCCTCGATCTCATCCCCGATGCCCCCGCCAGCCCGGACACCCACGTACATGTGGAACAGGTAACACTGGAAGAGGGGGAGCATAGCAGTCACTTATCCAATCATCCAACATTCACCAAGAACCCACCAGGGCTGGAGACACAGCAGTGACCCAGATGGCCCTGGGCCAGCCTTCACCGGCCTTGTAGACATGCGACAGCCCAGAAGTGGCTGGGGCTGGGATAGTGAGAGAACAGGTGGAGGGGTGGGGCTGGGATGAGGGAGACCATATGTGGATGGGCTGGGGCCCAGACAGAGAAGTTGCAAGTGGATGGGACAGGCTGGGAACGAGAAGGTATAGGCAGAGGGGTCAGGGCTGGGATGGGGAAGGTTCAGGAAGCTTTGAGAGGCTGGTAGAAGCTTCTGACCCAACTTGGGTGATCAGGTGAGGCTTCCTGAAAGACAAAACGTGTGATTTGAAACTTGAAGAAGGTGTCAGGTGAAGGGGAGGTGGGAGAGAGTTCCAGGCAGAGAAAACCACACATGCTACACCACCATGGGGGAGGAAAGAATACATTTTGCAGCTGTGAGGAACTGAAAGAGGTTCAGAGAGGCTGGAAAACAGAGCTCCTATGAGCAGGGAGAGAGATGAGGTAGGCCCCAGTCGCAGAGCTCTGCAGGTCCAACCAGGGAGAGCTTCCTGTAGGAGGTGGCATTTATGTTGAAAGGTGACGTGTCAGGTAAAGGGTTATGTGTGTAGCTCAGGCTTCGTGTCGGGGCAGAGTTAGTATCAGGTGCAAAGGGCCTGAGTCAGGAGGAAACTCACAGCCTTAAAGGAACTGAAAGAGGACGAGCTGGGCAGGGATCAGAGCCTTGTGATCCTTGGTGAGGGGCCTGGATTTTATCTGGAGTTACAAGAAGGTTCTAAGCAGAAGGGAGCCATAGTCCACTGGCACTTGGGGAAGATTCCACACTTGTTCTCTCTGTGTCCCCCAGAAGTGAGAGAACCCAGGTTGTCCTGGGTAAGAGTTGAGGCCAGTGACTTTGTGGGAACAAAGCTGTGGGCAGGCAAGACCAAGTCTGGTGGGGACTCAGATGCCAGGCTGGGAGCTGGGCTTAGTTCTGAGAGCAGAGGACCCATGAGCTGGCTTACAGGACCCTTTCTGAGACAGTCCTCTGAAATGACCCTTTCAACTGTGGCCCACTTGAAGGCTGAAATCAATTTGGGTTGTGACCACCATTAATAGAATAGAATAGAAAAAAAAAAAAAAAAATGGAAACATGGGTTGCCTGCTGGGACTTTGGGTGACATTTTTAATTACAGATGTTAATAATAGGAGCTAACATCTGTATAATCCTTAATACATGCCAGGAATTATTCTTTTATGCCTTAGATGATTAGGGAGGACTAGTTGGACCTAAGGAGCTCTGGTAGCATAGGGCCTAAGGCACTTGACTGCTAACCAGAAGGCTGGCGGTTCAAACCCACCAGCCACTCCTCTGAAGGAAGATGGGGCAATCTACTTCCATAGTGATACTGCCTCGGAAACCCAAGGAGGGGTCGCTATAAGTCGGGTCCAACTTAACGGCACATCACAACAACAACAACAAGTTGGACCTAAAAGCAACCCTATGAGATGGGCACTATTGTTAAACACCTGTTAAAAAAAAAAAAAAGGAGACAAAAACATAGGGAGGTTGAGTGGCCTGCTCCAAATTACAGAGCTTGTAAGTGGCACCACTCATCTGTCAGTTTGCCGCACTGTGGCGGCTTGCATGTTGCTGTAAGGCTGGAGGTGATGCCACCACTATTTCGAATACCAGCAGGGTCACCCATGGTGGACAGGTTTCAGCGGAGCTTCCAGACTAAGACAGACTGGGAAGAAGGACAAGGCCATCCACTTCTTAGAGAACTGGCCACTAGAAAACCTTATGAACAGCAGTGAAACAATGTCTGTGTATGACTGCAGTGGCTGCAACAGCGAGCTTAAGCACAGCAAGGATTGTGAGGAAGGCACAGGCCAGGGTAGTGTTTCGTTCTGCTGCACGTAGGGTCACCATGAGTCGGAATCGTCGAAAGCACCTAACAACGACAACAACAACAAAGTGGCAGAGGCACTCTGCCTGAGCTCCTTTCCACTAATAATACTTCAAAACACTCAACACCGAAATGACGGCTAACATTTAACCAGTCACAATCTTACAGCCCCACGTGTGTCAGTGTAGAACCGGGCCCCAAAGGGTCTCCAGTGGGTGATTGTTCAGAAGGGGATCGCCAGGCCTTTCTTCCAGGGTGCCCCCAGGCAGACTTGAACCTCCATCCATTCCATCAGCAGCCAAGCATCCTAACCATTCGTCACCATGGGGGAGGAACGCTAACACTTCTGTGCCTGGCATTATTCAAAGTACTTTACATCTGTAAGTTGATTCAACTCGCACAAGTCTATGAGCCAAGTACTACTGTTAGCCCATTTTACTTATGGGAAAACTAAGGATCTGGGAGGGTCAGAAACTTGCCCCAGAGCATTGGGAGAGCGGGGTGCTCACCGTCATCATGTCATCACACTTCATGTCAGGCTCATCTTCATCCTCACTCTTGTTGTAGAACTTGCGGAAGAAGTTGAAGGCCACCACCGTGTACAGGTAGACCACCACTGCCAGGAGGCCCACGGTCATCACCAGCTGGGACAGGAAGGGGATAGGTTACCTCCATGCCCAGCTTCCCCTCTCCCACACTCAGCCTTGCCAGCCCTTACCTCGGTCCAGCCCATTTGCCCTCATCACCTGGGCCTCACTTCCCACACTCATCAGTGGCTCAGCCCGCCCACCCAACCTTAGCCCTCACCAGTCCTCTGTCACTCCTCACCCCTTGACCCTTGGCCCCTCAGCCCGATCCAGCCTGCTGGCTCATCCCTGCCAAGCTCCCACCCTAGCCCAGCCCTCCATCCTTGGCCAGATCCTGTCCATACCTGTTTCCCGTTGTGGGTGACAGAGGAGAGAATGGTACGCAGTGTCTTGACCCCCATGGCAATGTCCAGGAGGTGGGCAGCAAAGAAGAAGTTGTTGTAGTGCCCGAGGAGCGACATCACCATGTACCATCCCAGGTATAGAAAGGACTGTGGGCACACAGGGTGAGAGTCAGGGAGCACGCAGGGAGCACTCGGGGAGACTATCTGCACCTCTCTCTGTTGTTGTTGTTGTTGTTGTATTTTTGTTCTATTGTTCTCTATTATTGTTGTTGTTGTGTGCCGTTGAGATGGACCCAATTCAAAGCGACCCCTCCTTGGGTTCCCAAGGCAGTATCACTATGGAAGTAGATTGCCCAGCCTTCCTTCCGAGGAGTGGCTGGTGGGTTTGAACCGCCAGCCTTCAGGTTAGCAGTCACGTGCCTTAGGCACTATGCTCCCAGAGCTCCTACCTCTCTCTATGGACTTGCCTATGCTGGATATTTCATTAAACAGAATCATTCAGTACATGACCTTTTGTGACTGGCTTCTGTCACTTAGCCGGTGGTTTTGAGGTGCATCCGTGTTGCAGATGCATCGGGACTTAATTTTTTATGGTGGAATAATATTTCATTGTATAGATGACCACGATTTTTTTTACCCGTTCAGCTGGTGTGGACATTTGGGTGGTTTTCACTGTTTTGGCTAATGTTATACTCTTGCTAGGAGCTCTGGTAGCATAGTGGCTAAAAGCACTTGACTGCTAACCAGAAGGCTGGTGGTTCAAACCCACCAGCCACTCCTCGGAAGGAAGGTTGGGCAATCCTACTTCCGTAGTGATACTGCCTCGGAAACCCAAGGAGGGGTCGCTATGAGTCGGGCCCGACTCGATGGCACATAACAACAACAACAACAACAACAACATACTCTTGCTGGGAACACTCACATCCAAGGATTTGAGTCACTGTTTTCAAGTCTCTTGGGTATGTCTAGGAGAGGACACAACCTGGGACACTCAGGGAGTCAGGGCACATTTAGGACTGAGTGCTCAGGGTCAGGGGCTATCCCTGGTTGGGGAGAATTTGAAGGTCAAGGGCACTCAGGAGTGATGACACACGTGAGGGAGAAGGCATCTGGGGGAACGGGGGAGCCCTGTAGAAGGAAGTCGTCATGGGATTCAGGAGCCTCTGGGGGAGTCAGATGATGTTCTGGGGGACAGAGAGCACTCTGGGGTATGAGGACCCTGGGAGGTCAGAGAGAACCATGAGATCAGAAGCAGACATTCCTTGGTCAGGGACCTGGGGCTAGAGTCCCCCAACCATCCTAGAACCCAGCACCACCACCACCACCACCACCACCATGGTCTTCCCCTCACGTTGTCTGTGAAGATGACCCCGAACTTCCAGATCTGGTACTTGACGTCAATGGACATGAGCCTGTATGGGTAGAGAGAACCCGATTCCAGGGATCAGCCCTGGCCACCTCCCGGCCTCCCCAGGCCCGCACAGCAGGGCCGCCTGGCTCACCAGGTGAGCAGCCCGGGTGGTGGCTCAGGCTTCCGCTCGTTGTGGGCCGTGATCTCCAGTGTGGCCAGATCCATGCCCAGCAGCTCGGCAATCCGCTCCCGCCCATAGATGTCGCCGTGCTTGTCCAGGACCTGCACGGGGGAACCTTGGGCAGTGTGGGCATAGCCAGGGCGAGGGGCTGTGGCGGGGGCAGAAGTGGAGGTTTCTGGGGACACCCTGAGCTTTGTGCGGGAAACTGCAGATGCATTTTCCCCCCTTGGGAGAGGGATCAGAGCTTTCTGTAAGATCCTCAATGGGAGGATCCAAAAGGGAACCTCATTAGCCAGCTTAGTGGGATAATGGCTTATTTTTAGGGTGACAGACAAGGAAGGGAGGTGGAGAGGTGACTCAGTAGTAGAATGTGGGAGACCCAGGTTCGAGTCCAGTCCTATGGACCTCATGCACAGCCCCCAGCTGCCTGTCAGTGGAGGCCGCATGACACTATGATGCTGAACAGGTTTCAGCAGAGCTTCCGGACTAAGACCAGGAAGAAAGGCCTGGAGAGCTACTTCTGAAAACCAGCCAATAAAAACCCCAGGGATTATAAAGGTCTGAGCTGCGACCAGTCATGGAGATGTGATGGCTCAGGACTGGGCATTGTTTCGTCCGTCGTGCATGGGCTCACCACAAGATAGGGGCTGACTCACCAGCACTAGCAGCTAACAGCCAAGGAAGCTTGTACAATTCAGCCCCTGTCATTTCTCCGAGCTCATCTCCTCACACTGGCCCCCTCGCTCACTCTGTTCCAGCCCAGGAGCCTCCCTGCAGTTTCTCAACTACATTCCTGCCTCAGGGCCTTTGCACTAGCTGCTCCCCCTGCCTAGGACACTGTTGCCCTAGATTTCCACCCAACTCACTCCCTCACCTCCTTATTAAATAAGGAGCCTTCCTCAGCCTTCCTGAGGCCCTAGGGGATGGCCTCAGGCCTCAGGCAGTCACCTGCCACACACAAGCTGGCAGTTCAAACCCACCAGCCACTCCTGCCAGGTAGCCGGGTCATCTCAGGAGCTCTGGTAGCATGGTGCCTAAGGCATTTGACTGCTAACCAGAAGGCTGGCTGTTCAAACCCACCAGCCACTCCTCAGAAGGCAGGTTGGGCGATCTACTTCCGTAGTGATACTGCCTTGGAAACCCAAGGAGGGGTCGCTGGGAGTCGGGTCTATTCGACAGCACATAACAACAACAGCCTTCCTGACCACCCTACATAAAACTGCTTCTCCTGACCTATACAACATCCCCCAGTCTCTTCACTGTGTACTTTTTTCCTACCACATCTATCACCACCTGAGCACGGTAAATGTGTTCACGGTCTGGCTTTCCTACCGGAAGGTCAGAATCACTGACTTGCTCACTGCTGGCTCCCAGGTCCCTAAAACCATTCCTGGCACACAGTAGGTGTTCAATTAACTTTTGTAGGATGAATGAATGCTAGTAACAGCCAACACTTACCTAGACTTCCAATATATATGTGACATGTATTGCTCACGTAGTAGGTCATTTAATCCTTACTACAACCTTGTGAGTTCGGCACAATTATGAACCCACTTCTAATGAAGCAAATGGGCATGGAAGGATGACCCAACGAGGAGTGGAAAGGCAGGCTACCTGGCGCCGGGGTCTGCGCACCTAAAACACTTGCCTCACCTCCTCCCTCATAGCTTTTTTTTGTGAGATAAAATTCATGTAATGTAAAATTAATCGTTAAGTGAACAATTCAGTGGCACTCGGTACCTTCACAATGTTGTGCAACCACCACTTCTGTCCATGTAGTTTCAAAACACTGTCATCACCCGCAACCACTAACCTGTGTTTGGTTTCTATGGATTCACTTATTCTACATGCTTCATATACTTTTGTACGTGGCTTCTTTCACTAGCAAAGAATTTTCAAGGTTCATTCACATTCTAACACAGATCAGGACTCAATTCCTTTTTATGGCTGAAGATACCACATTTTGTTTATCCAGCCATCTGTTGATGAACACTGGGTTTTTTCCACCTTTGGGCTATTGCAAATAGTGTTGCTGTGGACATTCGGGTATAAGGATTTGTTTGAGCCCCTGTTATCAATTCTCTTGGGTTTAGGAGTGCAATTGCTAGGCCGCATGGTAATTCTATGTTTAACTTTTTGAATATTTACTGAGTACCTGCTCTGTGCCAGGCACGGTCTATGCACCTCACATGTACCATTGCATTTGAGGGGGGTGGTAATCATGCCCATCTCCATATGGGGAAACGACACTTCTCAGAGAGCCAAAGCCCCTTGCCCAAGGGCGCACAGCAAGTGCCCAGCAGAGCTTGGATGGACTGACAGTGGCAAGGGACCTGGCTTGGGAGGCCCTTCCAGGTCCCCATCTATGTCCTCTCACCTTCCGCTTCACAAACTTGTCCCAGTAGTTGCTGGGGAAAGATCTGCCGAGAGAGAGAAACCATGAGATACGAGAGGGAGAGGGAGAGGAGCCCCCACCAGGCCTGGGTGATGTGAAATTCTCCTCCTTACTAGGGGCCTGGGTTCCACTACTTGATTTCCCAGGGCACTCTGCCCAGGGTGGGCACAGGTCACTCAGGGGCCAGTTCTAAATACCCTGTGACAGGCAAAGCTCCCCCAAGATCAACCACTACCCCACTGCCATCTTCGGTGGAGCTCAAGAGGCTTGCATTCAGAGCCAGGATGTGTGAAAGGACACCAGAGGCACACTCGTGAGGAAGTTCTTGCGCGTGAAGGTGGTGTGGAGTCCAAGCCAGCGGCCCGGCTCTGTCTCCCGCTCCAGGGGGGTGGTGTGCTTTCCCACAGTGTTTTATTTGGTGATTCTTGCCCTTTATTTACCAGTTTTCAAAGTGATAAGTTGATGCCCTAGCTTCCTGTAAAGGTGGCCAGTAAGGTTTTTTTGGGTGTGTGTGTGTGTAGATGAAGGAGTTCTGGTGGCATAGTGGGTAAGACATTTGTCTGCTAACCAGAAGGTCAGTGGTTCAAACCCACCAGCTGCTCTGTGGGAGGAAGATGAGGCAATTTACTTCTATAAAGATTTACAACCTTGGAAACCCAATGGGGGTCGCTATGAGTTGGCACTGACTTGATGGCAGTGGATGGGTGTGTAGATTGAAGGAGCGCTGGTGGCACAGTGGTCAAGCACTCGGGTGCTAACTGACTCAGTGGTTCAAATCCACCAGCCACTCCACAGGATAAAGATGGGGCAGTCAGCGTCCATAAAGATTATAGCCTTGGAAACCCTATGGGGCAGTTCTTCTCTGTCCTCTAGGGGCACTGTGAGTCGGCATCCACTAAAACACAGTGGGTTTGGTTTGGGCTTTGCTTCCACAAAGTCTGACAGCCTTGGAAACCCTATGGGGCAGTTCTACTCTGTCCTCTAGGGGTGCTGTGAGTCCAAATTGACTCGACAGCACCGGCTTGGTTGTGATGTGGAGATTTATTATGAGTTGATGATTTTAAACCTGTTTGATGTTTAAATTCAATGCACTTCCTAGCCTTATCGATACTCAAATGGTCCCTGACTTGTCCAGTGGGAGACCATTCTGGGGGGTTCCGGGGTCCCTGAGGCATGCCTGCACTTCCTCTTGAGCACGTCATCACGTTCTGACCCTGCGTGATAATCTAGGCTCATTTTGTACTTCCTCAGCCCCGCCCTGAAGTTGGCCACTTCTCCAAGGAGCTGGTTCCTCTTCATAGGAAAATGTATTTAGAAATCAAGATCTTGAACACTCACTATTTCAAACAGCTATTTCTGTCTCTCTCCTTTGCACATGAACTTGAATGTGTTGGAGTTTAAATGTGCCTTTGATGGTGGTGACAATGATCATGTAGGATGTGCTTCAACAAACAAACAAAAACCAAACTCACTGCCATGGAGTTGATTCAATTCTAGGCTGTAATTTATATGGAAGCAGACTGCCATGTTGGTCTCCTGTGGGGAGGCTGGTAGGTTTGAACTGTTGACCTTTTGATTAGCTGCAGAATGCTTAACCTCTGTGCCACAAATGTGGTTTATCTTCCTTCCTCCTCATACCAGCTTTACTGGGTGGAACTTCCAATCCTTATCTAGAATTTATGGTCAGATGAACAGCTTCAGGGCCCCAGATATGATGTTAATCACGGCAAGATTCTTGTGGAGTTGGTGTTGTTATTAATGCCCACTTTACAATGAGGAAATTGAGGCACAAAGAGGGGAAGTGACTGGCTGTGAAGTTGCAGTGGGGTATGCCAGACACAGGGTTTGAACCCAGCTCTGTCTCCAGGGAGGGCTTCTTGTTCTGGAGAAATGCCCCATCACCACAAAGCCCCACTGCATGAACATATGAAGTGGGACTTGCTGTGGGTGACAACGGAGCTGGGTGGGGGCTATGGACTGAGTCATGTCTCCCCAAAACATGTATTTTAAAGCCTTACTCCTATATCTGTCAGAGGAGCAGTGGCTGTTGGAACCCACCATCTGTTCCAATGAGGCAGGCTGCTTCCATAAAGATTTACAGCCTTGCAAACCCTAGGGGGTATTTGTACTGTCCTCTAGGAGCACTGTGAGTCGAAATCTACTCAACGACAGTGGGTTTGGTTTGGGCTTTGCTTCCATAAAGATTCATAGCCTTGCAAACCCTACAGGGCACTTCTACCCTGTGCTATTGGGTCCCCATGAGTTGGAATCCCCTCACAGGCAACGGATATAGCTGTCAGAATCCACTAGATGGCAACTAACAACAACCACATACCTAGGGGTGTAATCCCATTTGGGAACAGGGTTTTATGTCAGTGTAGCCATTATCAGCATGGGGTGTGCTTGAAACCAACCCTGTGTGAGATCTAAGAGATCAAGCACAGGGTGTCCAACCACACTGTCAGAAGACAATGGAGGCCTACCGGCCTATGAGTGAAGGACACCAAGGATGGCAGCCAGGGCTGACACCAGGATTGTTCCCAGAGCCAACAGATAGCGGGCCTCCCCTAGGGCTGATACCCTGAATTCAGACTTCCAGACTCCTAAAACCCACTGCTGCTGAGTCAAATCCAACTCTTAGTGACCCTGCAGGGCAGAGCAGAACCACCCCACAGGGTTTCCAAGGCTATACATCTCTATGGAAGCAGACTGCCTCATCTTTCTCCCATGAAGTGCCTGGTGGATTTCAAGAGGGGATAAGAGAAAAGGCATGCCAGACAATGTTTCTACAAGTGTATTGCTATGTTCTGTAAGAATTCCCAGGTATATAGTAGAGCTGACAAGGGACAAGGTTGTAGTCACTTCTTGGTCACAGCCAGCTACCCAGAGGGAGCAAGTAGTTGGACCTGTGTGGGCTCAGGACCATAGTCACAGGGGACATCAAGCTCAATTGGCAAAACATACTGCACAAAACATTGTTCCACATCCTATTTTGGTGAGTAGCGACTGGGATCTTAAAGCCTGCAAGCAACCATCTAGATGCAACAATGGGTCTCTCCTCGTCCAGAGCAAAGGAGAATGAAAAAAATCAAAAATTCATGGAAAGAATTAGTCCTAGCGACTGGTACACCATGCAATCCTCAGCCTATACGACTATGAGACCAGAAGAACTAGATGGTGCCTGGCTACCATTGTCAACCACTCGGAGGGGGATCTATGTAGGAAATCCTGGATAGAATGGGAGAACAATGTGGAACAAAACTCAAAATCATTTGGAAAAAAAAAGGGGGGTGGACCAGGTTTGCTGGTCTGATAGAGCCGGATGGAACCACTGAGACTCTGGCCCCTAGCCGCCCTTCAGGTCTGGAACTGAACCCACACCTGTGGCTTCCAGACAAACAAAAGACAGGCATATGAGTTGAACATTTACCTGAGATAGATATACTCCTTGGAGAGAACAATCATGGGAGAAAGAAGGGCTGTGTAAGCACAGGGAGACAGCTCAGGGTGCAGGAGTGCACAGAGGGATAGACACAGGGAAGAGGTGACTATGGGGAGGAAGTGGGAGGGGAGCTGTTGCATTGGGGTAAATTGTAGTCAATGTCATGACACAAAGTGTATGCTAACTGCTGTATGGAAAGTGAATTTGCTCTGTAAACTTTTACCCAAATCACAATTTAAAAAAAAAAAAAAAGGAGAAAATGAATTTGCTCTGTAAACTTTCACTAAAATCACAATTAACAAAAGAAAAAGGCATGCCAACCTTTTGGATGGTAGCTGAGCACTTCAATCACTGTGCCACCAGGGCTCCTTTTAAATTTTTGTTAGTGAAAGCCACCCACTTTTGGTATCGCTATTATAGCTGTACTAAGAACCTCAGACAGGGGGGTGTAGGTGGGGTCCAAAGGCCTTCCGCGCCCTCATCCCACCCCCAGGCCCAATTGGCAAACCAAATGATTCCATATTTCCCACTCAGGGGACCTGGGTGAGAATCACAGTTTGGAGGAAGAGGGGGTGCTGTGCATGGAGTTTAATAGGCAGGTTCCCAGGCCTCACCCCAAGGTCACTAACCCGGAACCTCCAGGGCTGGGGCCCAGGAATCTGCACGTGTCACCAGCACCCCCACAGGTACTTTGATGTGAGGGCAATGTGTCTTGTTATAGAGAGGAGGACTAAGGCTTGGGAGGAAGCAGTTAGTGCCCAGAAGAGACTGGAACTCCCGGTTTTGCGGCCCAGGACCCGGCTGCAGTGGAAACCTAGCCCCCTCCCCCCTGCCCGCCCTGAGGTGGGGCTGGGTCCATACGGCGTGTTGAGCACAAGGCGGTCCCACTGCCCCTTAACGTCGTCATCCTCAGGCTGCTCCGTGATGTAGAGGCCGTCAAACTCCAGCTTTCGGGCCAGCTCCTTCTCCCGCTTGAAGATCACCAGGGGCACCTAGGTTGTGCAGCAGGGACAAGGACCTGGCATCAGGCACCTCAGTGAGTCCACAGCCTCTGCATAAGCCACCAGATCTCGCTGGAGCCTGTGTGAGACCCCACATCAGAGGAGCATTCCTGGAGTGGTCAGGGCAGGAAGAAGGGAGCCCGAGGACAAGCCTAATGCTGCGTGGGGTTTCCCAAGAAAGAAAGGTCTGAACTCAGACCTTAAAAGCCAAAAAAAAAAGGAGATCCCGGGTAGAGGAGGGGAACAATGTGGACCAAAACTGAAAATCATAAAAAAGACCAGGTTTACTGGTCTGCAGAGCCTGGGGAAACTCCCAAGGGTATGACCCAGCGTCACCCTTCAGGTCTGGAATTGAACTCACTCCCGTGGCTTCCAGCCAAAGAACAGACAGGTGTATAGGGTGAACATTTACAGCAGGTAGACACACTCCTTGGAACAGTCAACCATGGGAGATCAGAAGGGCAGTATTTGCACAGGGAGATCGCTCAGGGAGCAGGAATGCATGGGAAAGAAGGACACAGGGAAGAGGTAACTACAGGGAGAAAGTGGGAAGAGAGCTGTTACATTGTGGGGATTGCAGTCAATGTCATGAAACAAAATGTGTATGAACTCCTGCATGGAAAATGCATTTGCTCTGTAAATTTTCACTCAAATCACATTACCAAAAAAAAGTCAGAAAAACCAAACCCACTGCCATCAAGTTGGTCCTGACTCAAAACTTAAGGACGAGTCAAAAGAGGCAGGTGAAAGGGTGTGGATAAGCCAACCATTCCAAGCACAGGAAATAACATATGCAAAAATTCTAAGTCAAAACAGAAGTGTTCATCCAATTGGAAAGTGTCAAGATTCGCTACAATCATGGATTCAGACATAGAATCCAAACTGAAGCTCTCCTAACACACCTATGGGGCATCAGAAACCTCCAGTATCTCCACCTCAGAGCCCACACCCCCCCTTAGCAGCCTTGTTCTATCTGAGACCCCAAAGAGCCCCACAGATCTTGATTTACCAACTGACCAACACGCAGAAAATCAGTACTTCCAATCAAAGTCTGCTTCTTGATCAATACGTCAATACAGTGACGTGTGCAGGGCAAGGATCACATAGTCCAACACCCATCTCCTCAGCTAGCGCCTGTGTCAATTCCTAGTTTGAGTATCATCCTCGCCAAGACCCAGTCCTGAGCCCAGTTCCTCAGCCCTCCTGGCCAAGGCCTCCCCGTCAGAGCCCCAGCCCTAACTCTTTTCCCAGCCCCAGGGTCCTTAGTTCCAGCCACTGACGAGGTTTCCATCCCGAGCCTCTGCCCAGAACTGTGCTCACGCCCACCTTGAGACAGTTGTAGCCAATGATGCAGAGAAAGGCCACCAGCGTATGCAGCAAGCTCAAGCACCGCAGCGCAGGCTCCATGTAGCCTGTGCTTTCTTCCAGGAAGTAGTACACCATGTTCTCATCCTCGTCACCCTCTGCCTCCTCACCGGCCCCCGAGCCCCAGCCAGAGCCACCGCCAGACCCTGTGTCTGACACGGCCCCTGCTGCTGAACCCTCCATGTCATCCTCCCCTGGTGGAGAGTCGGACACCTGCAGTAGGGACAGAGGTCAGTCAGGGAAGGAACTCCAGTGTCCTGACACCTGGTTGGCCAGACTCAGAACCCACTAATAAAATTAGCAGCTTCCATCAGTGAGGGCAGATTGGTGCCCCATCAGATACAGTCTTGGTGGAACTGTCAATCAAGATCAAGGGGCAGGCCTAGGACCTTAGCTAGCAAATCAGACTCTGTCCTGGGAGTTTGAGTATTGAACTGACTGACAGGAGGACTGAAAAGAGGTAGAGTTGATTTGTCTTCATAGTGGAGTCCTAAAAAACTGACCATGACTATTAACACTAGGAATCATAGCAGCTTACATGCATACAGCATTTTCTATATGTTAGGTACTGTTCTAATTGCTTTACACATATTAATTCTTTTAATCCCCACAACTCTAAAACATAGATATTATTATCATCCCCATTTTACAGATGAGGAAACTTGAGGCACAGAGAGTTTAAGCAGCTTGCCTGATATCATGCAGGAGTGAGCTGTGGAGCCAGGGTTCGATTCCACAGTATCCATGTTCCTATCATTCTACTATGCCTCTATCCTGTTATCTAGATTACCCAAGAGACCCTGTGTTCTATTATCTAGATCCCTGGCATGATCTCAAATGCCCCTTTGTCTTTTCAGAGGCCTGATTCTCAACCCTTTCCTTCCATTCTGTGAGATGCCCATTTCCTCTTCCCTACAAATTTCTCTTCAGCTGAATTCAGCAAAGCACTCTAACTGAATGAGTGGGTGTTACAGAGAGATGAAAATGTGCACACAGAGGCACAGGGCTAGCCAGTGGTAGGGCTGGGCATGGAACTCACATCTGGGTGCATGCCTAACCCTTGCACATGCTTGGGCATCTGCCCCAGATGAACCCAGATACCCACACTCGCTCCTACGGGGGACCCAGGACTCAGGTGTCCAGCCCAAACCCTCCTAGGAACCCCACCCAATACCTGTCCCTTCATTGCAGGGGCCGTGGGAGCTTGTTGGGGCTGACCCTCCCACCCCACGCCTGGATAAGGGCCTGAACTTTATCCTCATGTCCAGCACCTTATAGAACAGCAAGATGAAGTTGATAGCAAACGCCAAGAAGAGGGCAAGGAATCGCAGGGTGTAAAAGTTCCGAGAGAGGTAGTTCTAAGACAAGGAGAGGGAGAGAAAGAGAAATCTCACGGTCTGGAATTCATCCCATCATCCACCCATAATCAAAGCACCTGGGTCCTCAACACCTGGTCCCACAACCTACTGTTTATTAAGTGCTTACTGAACACCACGACCTGGGTTAAGGGCTTTCTATACATGTCAGCTGTTATTAATTCCTTCTCAGGGGAACCCCATGCATATAAGAGTAGAACTTTGTTCCACAGGGTTTTCAATGGCTGATTTCTGGGAAGTAGATCAACAGGACTTTCTTCCAAGTGCCTCTGGGTGGACTCAACCCTCCAACCTTTTGGTTAGTGGCCGAGTGCATTAACTTTCATCACAATCCCATGAAATAGGTACTACTATGTACTGCCTCATTTTACAGATGAAGAAACTGAGGCTGCAGGGAGGTGAGGGATCTTGGCTAAGGTCAGGGAGCTGGAAAGTGGCAGACCTAGGATTTGAACCCAGGCAGTCAGGCTCTCAAAGCACACTCTCAACCGCTCTGCTATACTGCTTCCAACATGACGTTACCCCAGGCAAGGGACATCTTCCATTTCTCGCTTCCTCTTTTTCTGTTCCCTTTTCCCTCCATCCCTCATTCCTCCCATGAATCTCCACTGAACCACTTTCCATCCAACATGTTCATGTCAGACTGGGCTGGGAGAGAAGACAGGCAGAGCCCTGGGCCCTGCCCTCCCAAACGCCCTTCCTTCTTGGCTTGGGTAAGAAGATGAGCTCTACCCCAGGAACCATGAGACCTCAACAACCCCCCTACCCCAACTCTCCTGCAGCCCATGGAGGAGCTCAGGGGGACACAGAGACTCAGACCAGAAGGCTGAGAGCCAAGAACTGGCCCATGGTGGAAGGACCAGAACCATGACCTCAGTTGGATTGAGGGGCAGACAGTAGAAGACTGTCCCCCCCTCCCCCAGGGGATGGGAAATCTAGACAACTGTCCCAAGATGACCAAAGGTGTGGGGGCTGGAATGAGGAACGTGAGCAGGGGGATGATAGTCAGGGGAGGACCACCTGAAAATGCTGCCATGTGCCCAGGTCCTGGGTCTAGCTGGGGACATCGGCCCTCTCCCAGCCTGGGTTCTCTCAGAGATACACCTGGTGCAGGTGGCGCTCAAGAACAGGGTGGGAAGGTGGGCATAAAAGGTGGGGGAAGTTTCAGTGCCCTGTTGGGTCCTCACCAAGAACTTCACCCTCTGCACTTCCAGTTCTTCCCAGAATTCCATACCCCCACCCTTGGCTTCCTCCTTCTTTGGAGGGGGTGAGGAAGCTTCTGTCTTCTTGGGGGGCTCTGGTGGAGGTTCTGGGACTCCCTCCTTCTCTCCATTCTCGGCACTGCAGGGCAGGACATACAGAGAGATCAGGAGGTGTCCAGGGAATGCGTTCATTCATTCATTCAAAACCATTCACTAGGGACTCACTTCATGTCTGGCCCAATACTGGGTGGTAAGACAGCTCTGTTCCCATGGGTTTCCCCAGTCCAGTCAGAAAGGCAGACTGGACTGAGGGGTCCAGAGTGAACCAGAGTGAACCAGAGTGGGCAGGGTAGGGCTGGAGAAGCCCAAGGGATTGTGGGAGACCAGAGGAGACATTTCTTTATCTTAAAATCAAGGTAGGCTTCCTGGAGGAGATGTAAAAACCAGGACAGAAAGGAGGTGGGAGACTCAAGTGAAGCATGGGAAAAGTGTTCCAGACGGCAGGAACGGCTGGAGTAGTCGCCCTCTACCTGTCCTTTCACTGAGCCCTCTCGGTGCGCAGGCTGGTGACGATGAGAACACAGGGTGCCCAGGACAGCCTCTCGCCCTGACCTCAAGGGCTTCTTGCCCAGAAGGCGGTGACAGGACCTAGGCCCCAGGGGCCCCAAGGCCACTCACTCGGCTTTCTCAGGCTCTGGCTCAGGCTCCGGCTCTGGTTGGGGCTCTGTGGGCAGCTTCTCCTCCTCTCCTTCCACCTGGGTGCAGGGCAAGCGTCAGGGTTTCCAAGCCCCACACAAGCACATCTCAGTGCTGACCTGCCTGGTCCTCTCTCCCTTCTTCTGTTCATTTCTGTGGGCAATCTAAGCTTTACACGCCCCCACACACCAGAAGGAAGAGGGACTATGATTTCCACTTTACAGAGGGGAAACTGAGGCTCAGACAGGGTGAGTGTCTTGCCCAAAGCCCTGTACAGCATCAGGCTGACTCCAAGTGGAGCTGTTCCCTCCCCACCCCCAGAGCATCCTATCACCCTGACAACGGAAACCAAAAGCCAGGGGAAACTCCGGTAGCTTCTCGCGCTCTCTCTCTCTCTCTCTCTCTCTCTCTCACACACACACACACACACATACACACACACAGAAACACCCACGGGGGTCTGAACTCCCCACCACCATGCGCATCTCTGAGGATCTGTCTGCCCCAGTGTCACTGTCCCTTTTCCCCTCCATTTCGGTTTCCGGGTCTCTCCCAGAAGCACCACATGTTTAGCGAGGGCCTTTGTCCTGGTCTCCGGCTCTGAGTCTCTTTCTCTCTGTGTCTCTCTGGGAGCGTCTCTCTCTCTGTGGGCCTGTCTCTCAGGCTCTCTCTGTCCACTCTGTTCATCCCCACCCCGGTCTCTGTCTCCTCTCTGAGGCGCTGTTCCTCCTTCCCACCCCCAATTTCTCTCCAAGATGCTGAAGCCCTCGCACGCCCACATTCTCACCCCCAGCTTCCTCTTTAGGATCGGGGAGCCCTCTGGCGTGGGTGGCTCGGCTGGTGTCGTGTCGCCCATGTCCCCAAGGCCGCCAGTCCCTTCTGGCCGGAAAGGCCCGCCTTCGGCCGCCACCACGGCCCCTTCGGCGCCTTCCTGCCCGGCCTCGCCCACTGCCGCCTCCTCGTCCCCGACGCCCTCCGCCGCGTCGCCTGCGCCCTCGCCGTCTGCGTCGTCGCCGGCCCCCGCAGGCTGCTCGCCGTGCACCTCGTCGCCCGTGGGGTCGGGCATGCCGGCCAAGAGCTCCGTCACCGTC